CACTCGTCGTGTTGCTGATGTAAGTACAGACCCGATGGTCAGTTTAATTCGGTAGGTCACATTCGAGGAAAAGAGAACGGAATTGTAGTTACGACTATTGGACCATATTCGTCGTCATCTGTGAAACAGATACCCCATAACGGTCAACCAACTCGTGATGGCTTCCGTAAAATTTGCGAAGGGAAGATTTCAACTTCACCGTTTTGAACCCTTTGTTTAATAGCTTTCATGTGAGCAGCAACCCTCTATGAAGTAAATCATAATAGGTAGTTGCAGGCTCTGGAATATCGTATCAACTGGGAGATATACTCCATAAACTATTGTATAATTTACTTACTTCCCAGTCGTATGTGACGTTAACTACTGCTACTGAATCAATTTCACCAATAACAACTGATCGTCACGATATAACCAATAGAGCTGGAAGTGGCATTAAACATCAACAATCAAACAATCAATTAATTTTGAGTTTTAAATTGATACCAGATAAAAGTAAACAGTCAGACGATAATTATAAAAGAATATTTTATACGCCTCTATTTGTCTTTTAGGTCTTTTGTGTAATTTGCTCCGGTGCCTAATTGACTGATACCGTACATATTCATTATTCATATTAAGTTTATATAAGGTTGGGTAAAACCGTAGATTATTCATATACTTGAATGCATCGGCCTATGACATAAACACCCTTTTTCTTTAATAGAAAAGGATTAATTCATGACAAAAAAAAAACCAACATGTACTTGACAAAACAAAGGAAGATTGCTTTATTGCTGTTTTTCACCTCAAAGTCACAGTGAGCCCTTCATTTCTGAGTAAAAGTTAATACCTAACTGCAAGTTCAAGACGGCCGCTAGCAGCGGTTTTAACTGTTTTCCTTACACAATGTTGACTGTATAGTCCTCATGAATGTGTGCCGGATTCATCATCTATTGGTAGATACCTAACTACGATTAATTATTAAATTCGATGCATAAAATGAAAAAAATATTGTATTTTTTGTTATATATGAGATGTAAAACACGACGGCTGCCACCCGAGGAGCAAGTGCTGCTACCTTTCCGGAAAGCTGAGTTCTTCCCCAATTTTTGGCGGGGTTCTTGCAGCTCAATCTTAGGTTTTCCGTCTCGTTTTATATTAACTGTTGTTTTTCTTTTCATCTTTTATGTTGTTTTGTTATTTTCATTTAGACAATGGTGTCTGTCTTTCTTCGACTTATGATTTTCGATGCCCCTGTGGTGTCTTCGGTAACAAAATTGTGTAACAGTTTTGATTAAATACAAATTATTTCAAACATTAAAATTTTGATCGCACGTAATCGTAGCAGTGAAAATTAATCATTGTTATATTCATAAATTAGGCACTGCGCTTGAAAAGAAGGTGAAGATACTAAAAAGGTTATAACAAAATGAGTAAGTCGAATAAAAACAGACAATACCTTGGCCAAGAAGTAAAAACGACGAAAAGACAAACAACAATAACAAAACTCCGAGGGGAAAACTGAAACTCCGACGGGTAAACTGATGATTGAGCAACACGTACCCCTCCGAACACCAGTGTGAACTCAGGTGCTCATGAAGTGCAGGTAATTCCTGTTCTGCTAGTGACACCCATCGTGTTCCTCATTGCAAGTAAAGATTTGATAATAACTCGCATTCGATGATTTCACAATCGAGGAAAAGAAGACGGTATTGTGGCTATGACAGGTGGGATATATCCGTGTTCATCTATGACACAGATAATCAGATAATCCATCAGTCTACCAAATCATGATGACGTCCATAAATCGTTCGAAAGGATGACCTCAACTAACTTTAACATTTGGAACCCTTGATGCAAAAGCTTCCATGTAAGCAGTTACCTTTAGACAAGAAAATCATGATAGGAAACGTAAGCCTTGGATTATCGTATCAACTGGGAGATATATGCTCCATATGTAGGCGCTGCTGGAATGCTGCTACACTTTTTTATCCAATGCTTAATAATTGCTTTCATAGCTTTTGACAGAGTTCAAATTGACTCTACCGGATGCAAGAAAATTAGTTAATAGATATAAGAAGATGTGGTATGAGTGCCAATGAGACAACTCTCCATCCAAGTCACACTTTTTAAAAGTAAACCATTATAGGTCAAAGTACGGCCTTCAACACGGAGACTTGGCTCACACCGAACAACAAGCTATAAAGGGCCTCAACAATGACTAGTGTAAAACCATTCAAACAGGAAAACCAACGGTCTAATCAATATAAAAAAAAAACGAGAAACGAGAAACACTTATGAACCACATCAACAAACGACAACCACTGAACATCAGTTTCCTGACTTATGACAGGTGCAAACAAATGCAGCGGGTTTAAACGTTTTAATAGGCTCAAACCTTACCCTAACCTGAAACAATAGTGTAACATCACAACATAGAAAGACATACTATAAAATATCAATTGAAATGGCTTAACTCAATCAAAAGACAAATTAACAAAAACAGTGAACATACACTGAACGAATAAATTTGATCTATAATGACACAATGTAAATACAAAATTAATAAAACAAGGGAGTTAGATTTAAAACAATATCAGAAAGACTGCAAATATAAAAATAGGAAGATGATTGCCATTGAGACAACTCTCCACAAGAGATCAAATGACATAGAAATTAACAACTATAGGTCACCGTACGGCCTTCAACAATGAGTAAAACCCATACCGCATAGTCAGCTATAAAAGGTCCGGAAATGACAAATGTAAAACAATTCAAACGAGAAAACTAACGGCCTGATTTATGTACAAAATAATGAACGAAAAACAAATAAAATATACAGCAATAAACGACAACCATTGAATTACAGGCTCCTGACTTGGGACAGGCACATACAGAATGTGGCGAGGTAAAACTAGTTTAAATGCGCCAACCCTCCCGCTAACCTGGGACAGTGGGACAAGCACTTTTGAACTAATCTTTGATATTGTGTTTGCTATTGGTTTTATTCTTATTATCAGTTTCATTGCGAAACGAAAACGACGAACAGACCAACAGTACACAAAACACAACAAAGAAAACTAAAGACTGAGCAATACGAACCCCACCATAAATCAGATTGATCTCGTGCTCCGGAAGGATTAGTATTTTTTAGACATGTAAACAGATAGTTTTGTGACTATCTTGTTACCCTTTACAGATAACTATTTCGAAAGAGCATAATTACTAAAGTGCAAAGAGCGCTTGAACAATCTATTACGACAATATTTTCGCTGATAGTCAAGTAATATCCTGCAAACAGCTACAATATTTAACAAATACTTCTAGAATACAATCTATCGATTGCCACTGGACGTTAAGCAACCAACAATCAACCAATCAATCAATCTATTGACAGTTTTCAAGCAAGACATATTCTTTCAACCTCACTTCTTTTCCAATTTATATGCGCATCTACTGATACTCCTCCTACCAATTGAAACAAAATATAAGAACATAAAACTTTTAAACGTTTTTTTAGTTGATCTTTTATAGATTTTCAAACGAGAAGACGTATACTTATTCAGACATCTTTGAATAAAGCCTGTATGTCTATCAACTTTCTTTTCAATACTTATGAGCAAACATTTGGGTCTCCAGCATCATTGAAAAGACATTTATTGTCGAAATTCTCATCTGGTGCAGTAATATTGGCACCGTGAGTAGTATTACTACCACTGGGTCGAATCTTCTGATAGCGGACTGCTAGTCCGCGAGGGTATCGCCAGCCCTTATTCCTTGTCCGGATTTGGCTATGCCTAAGACTCTTCAGCGGTTTGTATCAGGTTTGGATTTTCAAATGTGTCGGTCTCGAGCACCACTGAAGAGACATTGATTGTCGGATTGCGCATCTGGTGCAGTGAAATTAATACCTTTAATTTTATGATGGTCAATTAAAAAAAAATCTATTACTCCAATTTTATATTTCAACAAACCTTTTTCATATACATGTAGTTTCTAATTATGAAAGTTGTGTAAAAGACAGGGCAGTTATAAACCTTCAAAATTTATTTACAAACCCACCTTTTGAAAAATCAAGTTCTCAGTTCCGTATGAACTTTTCATTTACAGAATTGTCAGTTCAAATATTTCGGATGCTCAAGTGGACACCTTTCTTGTTGAAAAGCCAGGTTTCGGCTCAGTCAATGTTGAAAACCAAGTAATAATGAGAGTATAAAGAAAGTAAATTTTGAATGGTTTAGATTTGGCCGAGCGAGCAAAACAAGATAATGTGGTCATATTTTCCCCAAGTAAATTTTCAAGCGCGTAGATGTGTAAAGTAAACAGTTAGATTAAGGTATGCACTCTTTTTTTCGTATACAAAAGGGAGACGTGGCAGAGTTAAGACCACGAGAATATTAGCAATTAAAGGTCATCTCACGATCTTTAACAATAGTGGTCATTTTGTTGGTAACTGGATTATGCAGGTTTTTTTTATTGTGTAAATTTGTTTTAAAACATCTATGGTCTATATGTGCAAAGGTGTAGGTTTGAAGCAAGGTTCGTTTACAACCCCCTCCCCCCCCCCCCCCACACTTTTTTAAAATAATATGTTCATTCCCGTAAAATGTTTTAAGTAATGTTTTACATGTCCGTATTTCCGTAAAATGTTTTGACAGTAACTTCCTCCCTTTAAATAAATGTTAGTTTAAAAATTTCCGGATGCTCGGACTTTCCTCTTCTGAGAAATTTCTGTCGGAAGATTGACCAATACTGCTTCTGTCAATGTTCAAAACCTTGATGTAAGGGTCTGGACGGGGTTTATAGAATAGAAAGAATATACTGGTTTGACAGTGCATTAATAATTTGAAACGATTAATGTAAAACACATTTGAAATGTGTATCAATTCTATGATATACTTGTATCTCTTACGCTGTGATAATAATACAGTTGCCACATATATGTATATATTAATCAATGAATAACAGGAGATGCGGGGTATACACAATGTACGGCATGGCCCAATTTAACGATTTATACAAAACATTGATTTTTTTATTAACAAAATATAACCTTATATCCAGTTACACATTCACAGTACATTCATACAATATTCAGCAAACAACTATTACAAATACTTACAAAACAAAAAACTTAACAAATTAAAACAAGTATCCTTATTCTATAGTATGTAAATCTATTTAAATTACTGTCAATGACTGCATTCCAATGTATTGATTAAACCTAAAATACAGACTAGACAATGAGCAACAATATATATGTCAGACAATGAGCAACACTATCTATGTCGACCACTTTCGGCCATTTTGTTTTCCATTTCCAAAAGGAATGTCTAATGCGTTGACACCACCACTGATTGACCATGTTGCAGACGAACGGTTTGATGTCAAGGTCGTCTGTGACGTCTTCCTTTGAGTCGGATCATCCTTTTTCAGTGGACCAATGAACGAAAGAATAACAGGGAGTACGAAAACACTGTGCAAAAACGCAAATGTTATTACTAAAAACATGACCTTGAAAAATGATCTGAAAACGAACGATCTTGAAAAGATTAGCGTGCATATTCCAATAACCGATGAAAATGCACAGTTAAACACCGGTCCGCCAGCTCGTACCAACGATGCATTTGTTTTTGAATTTCGGTCTGTTCCCTCAACTGTCATGAATGCGTGACATATGTGAGCACTGAAATCGACAGAAAAACCTACACACATGATAACGTGGATCATAGTGATGCAGCTCAAAGACAGTCCCCACATATGCATGAAACCAAACACGCCAACCATGATTGAAACTACAGACGAGGTCACTAGAAATATCAGCAATGGGTGTGGCATGAATATACACGTGATAACAAAACATGCAACAACGGCTATGCCAACTGTTTGCATTGTATTTGGAAGTACAGATACATATTGTTCAAAGTAAGTGAACGGTTGTCCGTATGCAAATACCGGAAGTCCTGAATTTTCTGCTATTCTGCGCATTTCTTGCATCATTAGTCCCTGTTCGTGTGACTGTTGTATGCTTTTTGTGATAACGTATACTCTTGAATACTTTATTTCAGTCCCATTATCATTAAACACGACATCATTTTTGAAAATTGGTGCAAACTGAAAAAACATCCGAACTTTGTTACAAAATTCCATCTTTGTTCCGTTTGTTATTGCTAAACCAGATTTATAAAACTCTTTTAACCAGTTGATTTCAAAGCTGCTATGGACAAGTTCGTTCGATTGTGCAGATTGAACGAAATCATTAATTTTATCGACAATTTGTGGGTCTCTGTAATCTAGTGATTCGTCGATATTAAAAGAAATGGGAATCGGAAGTGGAAAATTATCATATTCTACGATACTGTACTTGTAATAGTAAGAGTCCTCACTGACTAAATTTCTGAGAACAAGCCCTTGTTCTAGGTTGGTAGTACCAGAAATTGAAAATACGAGGTAGGTTATATAGACCAAGGCAATTATAACCTTAGCAGGTATATTTAGAACCATTTTAGGCAATATTTTAGTTGGAACAAATTCGAAAATACTCTGCAGATCCTCTTTTTTCTCAGGAGTGTCTCCGCTGCAACATGCGTAGACTAGAGGGTTCCTATAACCTGATGCTTTCATTTCTTCAGTAGTGTAAATTGTTTGACATGTCAGACAATGGCGACTTGATGCTATTCTACGTTCATGAAAAACAAGACAACCGAGGAAAAAAGTGATCTGGTTAATATAGCAAAGTATAACAGCTGTTCCTGAAAAAGAAAACAAAAAAAGTAAATAATTTATTTCAAAGTAGTATGATATAAAACAATTCATAGTATAAATTAACTAAGTTACTACACACTTGAAGTTTGTGTGGGTTTTAAAGCATTAAGATGATTGCTCGACGGATGCGAAGAAAAATGAAGCAAATGTAATGATGTATCGCCTTTACATAAATACACGATTCTGTCCAAGCCTTTACGAGCTTACCATTACATTTGTTTGAATGTTGATTGGAAACAATTCAGAAAATAGTCTTAAGAAGGGAGTAAAGGATAAGAAGTTTTTGTTCCGGCGACTTGCGAAAAACTGGAATTACTTCCGATCACTAGTGTATTTACCCTTCCGGAGCACCTGATTTCACCGCGGTGTTTCAGTGGACTTTTTGTTGCTCAATCTTTAGTTTTCCATGTTATCTCTTGTGGTCTGTTGTTTGTTTTGGACTCTTTTTTTATTTTGGTCATGATGTTATTTGTTTTTCTTCGATATACGACATAGATTACCCCCTTGTGTCTCCTCCCTTCATTAATGAACGTTCGTTGTATTCCTTAGCTGTAAAAATTTTAGTTTTTTCATTGCTTAGCTTAAGTTTATATGTTATTTTAACGAGCACATAATGTGTGTTTTTACCATGTGGTTTGTATTGCTCCTTTTGAAGTGTCTTGGAAAAGCATTATCAATCGTATAACTTAAAGGGTTGCTGTGATATCCTTTGGAACTAGAGCTTTCAAGAGCTATTTTTTCCGTTACATTTTAGAATTAGTTGATTGTTGTATGTACGCACCTGTATATAGACAGAAATGACGAACGCTCATGAAATCGGACATGTAGCCGACCATGAATGCTATCAGATCGGTAAGGGACGTTATTGTAATGGCAACGCCCGTTGTCCGCATTGTAAAACTGATCCGTTCCTCAACTGATCCCCGCAGTGGAGCATCTGTCAACCCCGACAGTAAAATGAACATGTCATCTACACCAATACCTATAAAAAGAATATGTACTATATCAAAAACATAATATATAAAAAAAAAACATGATATTAGGTGATTTCGATAGAGCATAGAACTGTAAAATTACATGATTTTGACGAATAAGAGAATATGCATTATTGTTTTATTTAAAATAAATCTTAATAATCTGCTTTGTTTATTTTAATTGTCCTTTGATTAATAACGTTACATTTCTTATTTAACGTATAGTATTATAATTATATGGATTTTACATGATTACATCTATCATGTTTTTATTTTGTTTGCGTGTCATGTCAACTTTTCTTTTTTGTTTTTTTTTTTAAATAGAAGCTTCCTGTATTTGAAAAGGTTAGTTATCCAGTAATTCTTATGTTTATTTTATATGAAAAAAAAGTCAGACGAGATGACATCACCACTAGCTGTGATGCATTTTGCAATGTTGCAATAAGTATTACCTAAAATAAGAAAAGGCATTATGCCAACCATGTTCACATATGTTATTCCCAATGCTCCACATAAACCAAAGGCCCCGAGTATTGCAAGGGCTGTAGCTAGTACTCCAACTCTTCCAAGATGGCCTCTCTGTGTCAAACAATTTCCACCAGCTGTCACTAAGGAAGCGTAGGTTATCATTATTGTAAAGGTCAAACTAAAAAGAGCAATGTCCCCTATAGTATTTTCATCAAGCTCCGTGCTTATTGAGTCGGAGTGACTTAAAGTGAAATCTGTCAAATTAGCTTTGAACTCCATCAACTGTTTTACAAATTCCTTTTCCCATGCAATAGACAGAGCAGTATATTCTTTATTCTGCTGTCTAAGATAGTAATGGAGACGCAATGATTTGGCCGATTTGAGAACTCCGTTTTCAGTTTCAGCTTTCCCAAACTCTCTATCTGTTCTGTGGTCGCCATCAGGGTCGCTGGATGTTGGATATGTCAATGTTCCATTGGCTACTTGTGCCCAAAAAAAATCTCCGACATACCACAATCCCCAAACAGAACATTGACCATTGTTAATTGCACATAAATCTTGATAAAAGTATGATTTGCCATCGGAACCATTTATACTAATACCCATGACAGTTTGGTGAAAGTCTTGAATCTCCGGCAAGTACGTTCTGTTGATAATATTGTCATTAACAGTAAAAATGACACTTCCATAATGGCCAAGGTCGGGTAACTGATGAAAATGAAAGTTTTCATTACTTTCATCGGGAAACATGGATTTAACTCTCAGTTCATCAATATCCGCCTGGCTATTAGTTGGAGTATACAGTGTTTTGATATCGTTTTCTGAGGTGATCCACATCACATTCAGCCCAAGCAAACCATTTAACAGCACTGAAAATATGATTGCTGCAGCCGGATTTCGGCTGATGACTTTCCCATAGTACCCAAATGCACTGCTTATTTTATCTTCAACTTTTCTGTAGACATCCATACTTTATCCTGAAAATAGAAATATGCAATTCTTATAAATGTAGACAACTACATTATCTATACTTTTTTGGAATTTTGAATCCTAACCCCTTCCCCCTCCCCCCCCCACCCCCCCCCCCCCCCCATTAAAAATCAAATGGTATCTCCCTTACTATACCTTGAATAAAGAAAACCAGAGACTGATATCACTGTCTTTGTATACATTATCTATTATACGTTAATTATTATAAAAATCTATTTGTTTTTACTACATCTTCATATCGACAATTTATTATCTTATTTGCCTGATCTTTTTCACCAAAAAGTCAATAAGACCTATTTTTCAGAATTCCAAGCAGAAAATATTTGAGCAGTTGTACACAATTCTTGTAATGCAACTTGGTCGGGAATAATTGTAGAGAATAAGATAGGTTGATATTTGCCAAATTGATAGATAGTGTTAGAAAACAAACATGTGAAATTCAATTCATACGTTTGCAATCCTTTGAGCTCTAAATTCTATAATCCCTCGTGGAATCCTATCCACAAAATATGATGTTTTGCACCATTGAAAATTATTCTTAAATAAGGCACACTAAGAGTACATAAACATCAGACAGAAGAAAGTAATAGCAAAAAAGAGTTACCAACTTTGCTTTCCAATTTTATAACTTTTTTGGTAAGGGAAACAACTTCTATGCAGGACAGGCTGTTGTCCTGACAATACGATGTATGATATACCCCACTTACTAATTCAAGCGTGTAGCAATCATTTGGGCGTCTGTGATATATGTGTGGGGAAAATTTGTCAGTGGCGGATCCAGGGGGGGGGGGGGTCACGATTTAATGATTTAAAGCATTAAATAGTCAAACAAATTTTGAATATAACCCGTTTTATTGAATTACGCCCCTTTTCCTGTATCCGCCCCCTGTTTGTTCCTATTGAATGAATTTGATCACGATTAGACTGTATATATTTTTTGTCGGTCTTGAGGTATAAATTATCGTTCATACTTACTTGGGTCATAAAAACGTATATTACATACATTTAAAAGTTTCCAAGATATTTCATTTATTTATTTTTATATTTGATATCTTATAAAATTAATATTATTGTCGACATGGTTAAACACGTTTGTTTATTTTTCTGTTTACACATTACATTCATTTAATGATGCAATAAATCATTTCTATATATTATTTGTCTGACGCTATTAATTACTTTGAGCAAGGACATGACAATGTTATGACTTTTTGTCAGTTAAATGTCTGAAATAACAGGGTTACATGACAAGATCGAGAGTGTAAAACGATTGAACATTCCAAGCAATTTTTAATGTTTTATTTGTTTTGTTTACAAATTACTGTCAGTGTCATGAAGATTTTAGCATCCCTTCACGCATTGTGTAAAATGTTAAGGGAAAACGGTACATGTAGTATTTATGACATTTATTCTTCCAAATAACAATACTAGGCGACAATACTAACATTTTCTTAATTTACCACTTTTTATAATAAAGACCTGGACAACACAATAATGTGTGTTAATAGTACTTTATTATTCTGTTTTAGAAATTGAAGTCAAATAGTATCATGACCATCTTCGAACGGAGCTTGTTTATGGTATCCATGCCCACCGTCACTTTTTCAAGTTTATGAAAATTTGGAATACTTTTCGAATAATTTTCAAGAACATATTTCAATGGGTTTAAAAATTTATATTGTAAATGCAGTTATTAATAAATAAATAAAAAAATATATTGCACCCTTACATCCAATCGCAGCGCTTCTAAGTTGACTTCCTTCACCTGCCTTAGGTACACGAAAGGCAAACCTAAAACCGGGAAAAGTTATACTACTTTTTTCCCTTTAACCAAATGGGAGTGCTCCGATATAAAACGGAAAATCATACGTCTACAGAACAGAACATGCAGAGGAATCATTTGATCTGAAACAATTTATTTGCTATATTCCGTTGTACTGCGATGGTTATTTCAATCTCTCAAGTAGGAGAGGTCAATTACATCTGGGGGAAAAGGGGGGAGGGGTTACTGAAATATTCGGATTGAGATATTTTAAAATATATACATAAAGAAAAAATAAAGAGGACTATCGATTCAAGTAGTTTCTTTCTATGCTATGATTATCATCAGCGATGCTAGAGTTCAGAGGTTAAGTTGTTTAAAATGTACTAAAGAGCGCTATGCGATGAACTTACATATTTAAGTTGTTTACAATAAATCACCAAGAAGCATACATGATTTTCTTATTTCAATTATGAGTGTATAATGTGACATGTTTCGGAGAACTCGACAGTAAGTATGATAGATATAATAAACAGTTGTATGACAAGATGATGAAAAATGATGTTTTTATTGAGCGTTACATGTATGTTAGCCTTACATATACTTTAATCGGATGTCATCACATATCATTATCATTATAAGTATTTAGTCTGTGGTTTTACCAGAACTTTAACGACTATTAAGGAATCCAAAATTTAGCTCAAACTTCTGTTTTGCAGTCCTATATAATTTCATTATAAAAATCATACCCTCAGATTGTTTGATAATTGTTTGCGTTTTCACTTCATATTTGCACAATATCAGACCGAACAGAAAATAAGTAATCGCAAATACGTAAATTGGTTTATTATTGTGACAGTTTTCAATATTCACAATTTGTCAACTGACTACGTAAATACTAAAGTTGAAGGTATTAGGTGAGCGGATTTGTGATGTGCAGTTGTTTAGTTGTTTTTTGAAAATTCGTTTTTATGAGTCAAACATTATATTTTATTGCTTATCAGAATAAAAATATTTGGTATACTTGGCGTTCCCACTGTATGTCTCACTCTTCTCAGCTCTTCATTAATTGCATATGACGTCTTTGTGACGCAAATACGTTAACCCGGTCTAAATAACTTAGACCCAGGCATATCACCGAAGTCATAAAGAATAAACCGACATTGATAAGTTTGGCCCGAATTTATCAAACCATCTTCCGGTTTGCTAGTGAAACAAATAAAACACTTGTTTCTGTCATGCAAAATACACAAATACAATCCGATAAATCGATTTTAAGATTTTCATCATATTCATATTGTAAAATATTAGCTGCTCGACACAATATGGTCGGAGCCCTTTCAAAATTGCTCGCTGCGCTCAGATCGACAAAAAACTTCATATTGTGACTAGCAGCTGATAGTATACAATATCTATATGCAGACAACCTGATAATCGGTACTTATTGCCAATGAGACAATTATCCAGCAAAGATATCAACAACCAAAGACAAAAAGACAAGGATGAAAACAATCAGAGACTAAGGGACAAGGATAAGTACAACCAATGACCACAAGAAAAGGATGTAAACAACTAAACACAAAAGGACAAGAATGTAAACAACCAAACACCAAAAGGACAAGGATGTAAAAAAACAAACACCAAAAGACAAGAATCTAAACAACCAAGCACGAAAGGACAAGGATTTTAAAAAATCAAAGATTAAAGGACATTGATGTAAACAATAAACGACCACATGACAAGGAAGGAAACAACCAAACAACAAAGGACAAGAATGTTAACTAACGACATTGATGTAAACAACAAAAGACCACATGACAAAGATGGAAACAACCAAACCCCAAAGGACAAGGATGGAAACAACCAAACCCCAAAGGACAAAAATGTAAACAATCGACATTGATGTAAACAATAAAAGACCACATGACAAGGATGGAAACAACCAAACCCCAAAGGACAAAAGTATAAACAATCGACATTGATGTAAACAACCAAAAGACCACATGACACGGATGGAAACAACCAAACCCCAAGGGACAAGGATGGAAACAACCAAACCCCAAAGGACAAAAATGTAAATAATCGACATTGATGTAAACAATAAAAGACCACATGACAAGGATGGAAACAACCAAACCCCAAAGGACAAAAGTATAAACAATCGACATTGATGTAAACAATAAAAGACCAGATGACACGGATGGAAACAACCAAACCCCAAAGGACAAGGATGGAAACAACCAAACCCCAAAGGACAAAAATGTAAACAATCGACATTGATGTAAACAACAAAAGACCACATGACAAGGATGGAAACAACCAAACCCCAAAGGACAAGGATGGAAACAACCAAACCCCAAAGGACAAAAATGTTAACAATCGACATTGATGTAAACAACAAAAGACCACATGACAAGGATGGAAACAACCAAACCCCAAAGGACAAGGATGGAAACAACCAAACCCCAAAGGACAAAAATGTAAACAATCGACATTGATGTAAACAATAAAAGACCACATGACAAGGATGGAAACAACCAAACCCCAAAGGACAAAAGTATAAACAATCGACATTGATGTAAACAATAAAAGACCACATGACACGGATGGAAACAACCAAACCCCAAAGGACAATTATGGAAACAACCAAACCCCAAAGGACAAGGATGGAAACAACCAAACCCCAAAGGACAAAAATGTAAACAATCGACATTGATGTAAACAATAAAAGACCACATGACAAGGATGGAAACAACCAAACCCCAAAGGACAAAAGTATAAACAATCGACATTGATGTAAACAATAAAAGACCAGATGACACGGATGGAAACAACCAAACCCCAAAGGACAAGGATGGAAACAACCAAACCCCAAAGGACAAAAATGTAAACAATCGACATTGATGTAAACAATAAAAGACCACATGACAAGGATGGTAACAACCAAACAACAAAAGACAAGGATGCAAACAACCAAACACCAAAGGACAAGAATGTTAACAATCGACATTGATGTAAACAACAAACGACCACATGACAAGGATAAGAACAACCAAGCTCCAAAGGACAAAAATGTTAACAACCGAACACCTTAAGTACAAGGATGCAAACAACCAAACACCAAATGACAAGGATGTAAAAAACAAACACCAAAGGACTTGAATAACCAAACACCAAAGGACGTAAATATTCAAACACCAAAAGACAAGGATCTAAACAACCAAGCAAGAAAGGACAAGGATGTAAAAAATCAAAGATAAAAGGACATTGGTGTAAACAATAAAAGACCACATGACAAGGAAGGAAACAACCAAACCCGAAAGGACAAGAATGTTAACAATCGACATTGATGTAAACAACAAACGACCACATGACACGGATGGAAACAACCAAACACCAAAAGACAAGGATGCAAACAACCAAGCCCCAAAAGACAAGGATGTAAAAAACAAACACCAACCGACAAGCATGTAAACAACCAAACACTAAAAGACAAGGATGTTAAAAACAAACACCAAAGGACTTAAAAAACCAAACTCCAAAGGACTTAAATATTCAAACAACAAAGGACAAGGATGTGAACAACAAACTCTAAAGGACTAAATAGGTAAACAACAAAAGACAATGATGTAAACAACAAACTCTAAAGGACTAAATACTAGTAAGTAAACAACAAAAGACAATGATGTAAACAACAAACTCTAAAGGACTAAATAAGTAAACAACAAAGGACAATGATGTAAACAACAAACTCTAAAGGACTAAATAAGTAAACAACAAAAGACAATGATGTAAACAACAAACTCTAAATGACTAAATAAGTAAACAACAAAGGACAAGGATATAAACAATAAACCCAAAATGACGTAAACAAACACCAAAGATGCCGTCAACAAACATATTTCATTAAGTTATGTTGTGTTGCTTTGTTTTTAATGTTTGGGGAAATTCTTGTGTTTTGGTTAGTTGTGTGTGAATTTAAAAAACTTTGTTGTGTTTCAGTTGTATCCTTATTATGAAACAAGTTACTTGCGCATGCTCAAGAAAAGTATATCAAAATCCTGATGCTACCGGAAGACTCTACTTGACCCGAACGACGTAGGAGTTCGGGTTAAAGGGTCATCCCGACCGTGCAGATTAAATGATTTAACCGGTTTGATTGACCAATAACTGCTTTAACACTTGCCGCCATCAATTTATATGAAAGTTTTGGAAATATGCGGACAGTATTCCGCAATCCGACTCCTAAGAAAGTTCTCATGTAGGGTAAAGAAAGGGGTAAATACGCCTTTAGGTAGTAAAAGATTGGTAACTTTTAAACTACTTAATTGTTGCCTTTTTTGGTGAATTGTGATCTAATGGCAGGTTCTTATTAAATTATTAAAATTTTTATATAAATTCGTGACGATTTAGAACTTGACATATTGTGTAGACACCTATCTAATGTTGAAAACTATAAGTTGCCCTCCAAATGTCATTATATTGTTTTTGTCGTTTGATTGCTGTCTTATTGACGTATAACCCCCATCTCCTACAGTTTTAGTTCCGTTTGATGTACTTTGAAATCGGTTTATGAAAAATCGTAACTGAAAGGGTTATTGAGTATAGATTAATAGCGTTTCTTTCCCTCGAGAATATGCTTAGAGGAACTTAAAGCGAGGAAAGATGTATTTAAATTCAAAATTAAACTTTGAAACTAGTACCCATGATTGTCATTTAAATCGCTCTTATCGGGCAGATATGTGTTACAAAAACGTGGTTAACTTTTATCCTTTTAAAATAAGCTATAGCAAGATGTACTACATTGAAGTATATATTTAGTGTAAAAAAGGGCAAAAATTGGAATGTAATGTAAAATTCATCATGAAAATACATGTATAAACCCATGCTGAAATTAAACATAACCATAGGTAAATAATTTAAATAAATAAAACATGTAAGTATGTAAGTCATCATTATTATTTTATATCTTGCATGTATTTAATACTGCCAGTAAGGTCTACAGGTGTAGCTTTTTTAAAAGCAAATATGATGACACAGTATGTGAAATTATGTTTCATTTAACAATTTTATCTTAAATGTAGTTTTCTGTGTTTGGTTTTGCATTTTTTACGGAATTATAAAATTTTATAATTAAAGTGTGACAAAGACTTACCTTTTGTCTTCACAGTTCTGTTTGCCAAACTTTAGTCGGGAATGTTCATTGGTTAAATATACAAATTGTATAATTAATTCAGCACCAATGACGTTTGTCAAATTGATTGACATAATTCTTAATATACATAATATATACACGTCCGCCTTTTGGAACGCCTTTGTCACAAAGGACAGCCCACTTTCATTATGCAAGCATTACAAGTTCATTTGAGTTATTCATCAAAATATTCATAAACAACAGTTTTAATTACATCAAAATTGTAGGGTTCTAAAAATAAAGAAAAGAGTCCATATTTTTTTTCAAATATCAAAGGTCGTTCGGCAGAGATATCCATTCTTAAATCATCTTTTTTGGTAATAATCAAAATCAACTAACAGTTGTAAAGAAGTAAACTACAGCTGTACACACACACTTTTACCTGTTATAATAAGTAAACTGGTGATATTTGACACCGAATCAAATATGTCAGAATTCCATTACAAGGGTTACAAAACTTGTAGATGTAATATTGATAAAAACATATTTTTTTAGGCTAATCTTCAACAGAAACATTTTTTTCTGCTCGCTTCTGAAACAAATAATTCTGTTTAAAAGATTTATAAAATTAAACAATTTATTTAAGAATAAGGCCCATACCTATTGCCAAGACTACATTTTTATTTGACTGACATTTCTAAATATAAAATAATGAGATGTGGTATGATTTCAAATGAGACAACTAATCACCAGAGACCAATGGAAGCGGAAATAACCATCTTTTTCAGATCAACATACGGCCTTTGATAATGATTATATCACATACTGTACAGGTAGCAATAAAATACCACAGTTTAACAAAATGCAAATTAATTCAAAAGGTAAAACAACGGCATTATTTGTGCTTAAAACAAAAAAGGAAAAACAAATATGACAGAGAACAAACACCGAAAACTACTGAATTACTGACTACTAAATTGGGCCGGACACGTACAGAATGTGTCGTTCTTAAACACTTGCATTACTGGACCTATCTTTACGTTGTTCTTAATCTGATGCATTTCATATAATCTCATATCAAAATTGGACCTTCAAAAAAAATTACATTGGAAATCTGTACCTTACCGTTACAATTTACAGGGTTTCACAAAAGTCACACTATTATATCTAATAAGATAAGCTCTTTTATGTCGTTTGGATACTGCCAGGGGCGGATCCTGGATTTTTGAAAGGGAAGGGGGGCATTATTCCATAAAACGGATTATAGACCGCGAAAAACAATTTGGACGATTTTATGCTTAAAAATCATATAAATCGTGAAAAATATGATATAATTATTTTTTGGGGCGACCTGAACGCCCCCATGGATCCGGTACTGCTATCTCAATAACGCAAACCCCACAACTCGTTATATACATGATATCTTTGATAAATTTAAGTATGTATCACTAAACAGAGATAAACATTTAATGCTTGCTATATCTTGCATCATCTTGTACGTATTTTTGCATCCATGGCTTTCAGTTGTTTAAGTTAGAACGTTCCTGTTAGATGTAAATCCAGAAAAGCTTTTTGTACGCACGTAATTTATAAAGTGATATTTTCATTTATATTTTTAATATATGTATATTCAATCATCGGTTACAGTCGAATTTTACCTTATTTTCACCTATTTAGATTGTTAATTGATACTTCAATAACAAGAGTTTATATATACTACCCCTCTATTCATATTTTCCACGTTTCAATATTTACTAAAACAAATAACACAAAAAAGAGGAGGGTACTTGCATCAAGCGCCTGTGTTAAAGGCATGTATTTGTGCTATTTTTTATTATGTAAATTCAGAAATTATTGCGTGCATTTATTATTGCGATTTTGTCATTTTAGACTAAAATGCGATTTTAATTTTTGCGATATTGAGAAAAATCCTGTTAAATTCATATAAAAAATTTCAAAATGCGAGTTGAAATTATTGCGAATATACCCCTGTCGCATTTTTCGCAATAATAAAAACATCGCAATAATTTCTGAATTTACAGTAATCAAAATATGTAATGATTGGCGACTGGAGATTTAAGAAATAGACTTTATACTGTTCGAATTATTTCGGTTCTTTACATTTGGCTAATGATACAACTTGTTATGAATTTTATATTGGAACAACGATTTTTGATTGGTTCCGTTATCGACTTGTGATTTAAAGAAATAATAGTTTTTAATTCTGCCGTTGATTGCCGAAACCTAACCCTCCTAGTATGTATCCCTCCAAATATTTATGCTCAGTAGTTTCAGTTTCATTTTCTGTGGAAGTTTTATTTTTCAGCGTATGTTCCATGCTGATTTTCTACGATGAATAGACGTATTTACAATGTAATTGTTTACTGATCAGACATTGATAGTTTATCACTGATAATTTAGATTCGTTCATTCGCAATGGATATAGACGTGTGGATTTTAGATTCATTTTTCACTCGCTAGATATAGGCGTGTTGACAAATTATTGTTGACAGATGGTGTTGAACATTGATTTAATTAACTTTAACGTCTATTATTTTGTTTTTTCATATGAAATTGTAATAATTTGCCAAAATTAAACGTTTTATTTTTAGTTCTGATTCAGTCGTCTAATGGTACATATCTGCGTCTAGTCTTTTGTCTTAGATTCTGATTGATTAATCATACTAACTTCGAAAGAGCAAATTAATCTCCTATGCAAAGTAATATAAAATTAAAACTTTCTCAGTACAGACATGTTATCACTAGATCTATGTGTGAAAACTACATGTACAATTGTAGATAAGCATTTCTTTTACTATATGTTTTGACTGCAACATATGTATTACTAAACTTGACAGAAACAAATTTGTTAATATGTACTTGACAGAAACAAATTTGTTATGTAACCTGACATAGAACACAAATTTGTTAAGTAACTTGACAGAATCAAATATTAGTAAACAACAAAAAGTGAAAACTCGTATGACAGATACTGTGTAACAAGGTTCAATGAACTGTTTACATGACTACATAATTACGTGCAGCAGACGATACTTCATGACAGATGCATGTACTTATAAACAATATCTGTCATAATGATTGCTTTCAATTGTTGTTTTTATATTTTAGTTTTTATCGTTTGCTGTTGAAGTGACATCTAGGTGTCGTTACTATACATTTAAATTGATTGATTGTTGTTAACTGAACACCCAGTATAATTTGAACTATAAATCTACATTCCAATAATTAGTTTGACAATAAATGTACAGAGAAAGAAGAAAAGTGTATCTAGGTCAGACAAAATGAAAAAAGAATTTCATCAAAATGCAAGTTCTAGCATTAACTAATAAAGAAGACTACTTTGTTTTATTCAATAATATTGAAAGAATGGTTTTAACCGTTGATTTTGAAACTTATTTTAAACTTCTCTGCTGCAATGCATACGATGTCTTCAGATGTTTCATTTCCCATTATTGTTATTTTTTTTTTCTCAAAAACATCATACAATTGTATAGTGTGAAATTAAAATAAGGTTGTATCTAAAAATTAGCGCAATTATATACTAGTTTTGTGACGCAAATGATATTGGGTATTTTAAAAACTAGTAGCGCAAACGTATCATTGGTACATATGAGTTGTGGCACAAAAGAACGCATTTTTGGTGCGAAAGGATTCATATTAGATACATTGTAAGTATAAGTAAGTTACCAAGGCATGTAATATAAGTGAATATTACTGTTGAATCCTTTGGACGTTGAAAGTTGTTTAAACTGTGGATGGATGGAGTTTACATGATACAGAATAATGGATTAAACATAGATAATAATGGAAAAAAACTTAAGAATAAAGAAAAACGAGTCATAATACAGAAAAATGGACTAAACATAGAGAATAATTGACCTAATAACTTAAGAATACAGAAAAATTAGCACATAAAATTAAGAATAGAGAATAATGGGCCGAACATAAGGAAAAGAGAAAAATAGTCTACAAATTTAAAGAATACAGAAACAAGGATCCCCAATCCAGACCCTCACATATGGATATTGATATAAAAAGCAATATATATATGTTTTATATTTCGCCAATTTTTTGTGTTTAACAGCAATAGTGCATATTGTGTCATCCTAATGAACATTATATTTTAAACTACATGTACATGTAGACTTAACAAGTTGCTTCTAACAACTGTATATAGATAATAAAATCAAATGATATTCTATGCTTAACACTGCTGTCAAAGACATTTTAAAATATAAAGACAAATCTTACATGTTTTTGTAAACTTTTGCGAGATAGAACATATTACTAGCCTTTCTCTAGATCGAATTGGCATGTCCTTTTTATTCATACTTAGGGTCAATACTCATAATTTACCAAGATTGATAAAAATTCACACACCTGAATCTGTGATCCTATGAATTTCAGTAAGAAAAAGAATTAAAATGGCATTTGTATGGAAAAAAGATAAGATTCACTTTACCTTATATTTTTGCATTTGGATTTTTACTTTTTAATTATCAACAAATTTCGTGACTTCATATGTATGTTATATTTTCCACTGAACGTCGTCGTCGTCGTCGTCGTCGTCGTCGTCGTCGTCGTCGTCGTCGTCGTCGTCATCGTCATCGTCATCGTCGTCATCGTCATCATCATCATCATCATCATCATCATCATCATCATCATCATCATCATCATCATCATCATCATCATCATCATCATCATCATCATCATCATCATCATAGTTTATTTGATCATATCAATGTTGTTTAGAGACGTCGTCATTGTACGTGTAATTTGAAAGAGAATATACGTAAGTTATTTTGCTCAGCAGATTAGGTTTTTCTAATTTGGATTTTTTACTTGTTAGTTATCAACATGTTCGTGACTTGATATGCATGTTATATTTGCCACTGGACGTTTAACAATAACGATATTCTTTACCAAAAAAAAAAAAATCTATTGGAAGTAAACCTATAATAATAGGCCAATGATAACAATAATGTATATAATTTTTTCAGATATTAATAAATTTAGTTGCTATAACTGCA